ATTCTCAAAAATGACTATTTTGCCCCTGGTGGCTTAATTGTTATCTTTCCAATCTCTTACTTCCGCACTTATTCCTTAGGGTTCCGTGACCTCATGGAAGGTCATCTTAGGGTCTTAGAGGTGTGTTGTGCCTTGGGAGACCGTTGTCTTGTTTCTACCTTCCGCATCTTGGATCCAGTTTGGGTCATCACAGGACGTACTGGCCTAAAAACCAGGGTCGTTACAGATTATGTCTTGCTCTTTTCCGGGCTCATGAGAGCGCAAACTCACTATTCTTTTAGGCTAGGAGCGAACCTTAGCTGAGAGAAAAACCACCATACTCTTTTCCGGGCTAAGAGAACAAACCCACTATTCTTTTAGGCTAGGAACAAACCTTGGCTGAGAGCAAAACCAAAATCTCTTTTTCTGGCTGAGAGAACGAACCCTGGTGAGCATCATGATTGAGTAAGCTAACTAATTGACTCTATATGCAAATGAACTTCATTGAAGATTCTGTTGAGACTCCTTATAGTTTCTGGATCTTTCTCCATAGAACGGTTGAACATCCCAAGCCAAACCATAGGCTTTGATACCACTTGTAGGGCACATCGGAAGCAAAACAATTTACAGAACCATATCACTTTGAAAACAAATAAAACAATCATAGAATCACAATACAAGATTTACATGATTCACCCAAACTTAGGACTACGTCCATGGATGAGGAGATTCATTATAATCATGTAGAGATATTACAAACTCGTAAACCCTCTCTACCCATTATTCTACTTGACTACTTATAGAGCTCAAAACTAAACTCCTTGTTCACCAAGGATTACAATTCTGAGTTATCAAAAAATTACATAACAAAACACGACTCTATAATAGAAACATAATTATTAATTTGAGATATTATCCTAACAAATACTTGATGTGCGCATACATTATCCTACACACTAGGGAGCAAGTGAACAATTATGAATATAATATATAACCTTTGATTCTAAAAGTACTGTTATTTAAAGTAATGTTGTTTAGCCGTTAGATTAGAAAAGTTATTAAGCTCCATGATGTTAGTTTCCAATTATGTAAGCATTACGTTTTTTTATTTTTTATTTTAAAAAAAGGAAAGATAGAGAAATACTCTCTCCAATTCTCTTTGTGCATAACAAGTTCTTGCACGATTCAGATCTCTTTGCATATCATCATCAATGAAGGACCCCTCCAATTTTTTAGATCAACATATCTTGAAAGAGAGTGTCTAAATACCAAAACTAAACATTCAACACACACAAACATATATGTTGGTCCCATCTTTAAATTAGGGTTTGCCATTTTAAATGTCAAAAAGTTGTCACAGGTCCATTTCATTGAGCTTCAAATGATTCTGGCATGCTCAGTGCATTATATTAATCTATAGGGGCAATATGGTCATTCTATATTCTTAAGAAGTCTTTTCAAATGGCTTAAGGAAGGTACATTGTGTTGATAGTACTCATTGCAGGCCAATTAGGGTTTCATGCTCTAGTTCAAAAGATGATATTTGATTACAGAGTCATTCAGGGGCAATTGAGTCTTTTCACAATTGTATTATATCATTATACACTTGTTTGAGATAGTGTATTGTATTGAATTACTCAAAATCACAGTTTGATCAAGTGTCCACAGTTGTAGCGGCAGAAAACTGTGTGTAATTTTGTGATGAACGTACTTATGATGTCATAATTATTGATTAATTATATTTAATTAGTTTATATTTTCCATGGTTATTGTGATAGTCAATTTGCATAAAATGGAAATTTATTTTATTATATGTAATATTTATTTATTTTATCATTTGTTACATTTTCTTTTAATTCTTTACAAAGATATGATATATAAAAAAATAAATAATATTTATATAGCCGAATTTTTGGTCCTGAATTTTTAATCCATATACATATTCATATTCAAAATTTTATACCGTAGATACTACGTTACTGACTCCATTTTTTTCATACTGTATTTTACTAAATATGGCTTAGACCTATCTTGAAATTGATTGCTTACTTGGTTAATGTAAATAGAAAATTAGCTGGGCTTGGGTTTGTGTTCTCTGGGGTTCTCAGCCCAGGCCCAGTGGCTGCAACTGTACACACAGCTAATTCTCTACCCTTAAAAATGTTAATATATCATCTGAATTAAAATCCAATTTTGGGACTTGGTCTCAAAATCAATTTCAGTGTACTTTCAAATAAATAGAATCCAATAAGTAATTCATTGTTACTAACCCAACTTTTGTTTTTTTGGGCTGACTAATTTGACCTAATTAATTGTTAGGCCCAATAACTTAATGGAACTCATCCTAAAAAATTTTATACTAACTTTAAAAATTCTTTTCTTTTTTTCTTCATTCTTAGTCCTCATGTTTCTTTTTTTTTTTGGGCTGGAAATAAACACATTATTATTTTTAAAATGGTTGTAATTACCATATCCACGAAGGATAGGAAATGTTACACATGAGATGTAAGCACGATATGACGATTTTGTCCTTAATCAACTTTAATCCATGTGATAACATTTTTACTCGGTACTTGGGTTAACACATTTTACATTTCTAACAAATGAGGGTATTTTAGTAATTTTATGTGTGAACAAAATAATGATAAATTGTCTTATTTGCCAATTTGTAATAGATTAGGGGTGTTTTTGCAATTTTAGGAGCACATGTCGGCAAAACTGGTTAGTTGAGGTAATTTTTTCCAGTTTGCCCTAATTGTTTATTCCAATGTAGTTCACTTCAAAGTGATATAAATTTTTATTTATAGACACCAAACCTCTCATTGATTGTTAAACAAGTAGAAGATTTACCTTTCAAAACAAACAGAAAAAACAAAAACAAAAAAAAGAGTAAAAAAGGAATACAAGTAGAAGATCCCTATCATACCTTAAATTAAAATATGAATTGGCAGAATTTATACTTAAATAAAACTCACATATTCAACTTATAATCATAAAATAGTGTACTTTTTGCCAAACAACAACAACAAAAACAATCAATTTTTTTTTTTTTTTTTTTTTTTCAACTACTTGGATTCGTGCAATTTTATCATATTTACTTTTGAAATTTCATTAATTAAAATAATAAAGTTCACTATTTAAATAAGAATACTCTGGAGCACTAGAGAAGCCAAAGAAAGTCATGTATAGGGATGTCAATTTTTACCGCCCTGCCGGGGCCCCGTCCCGTTCCGCCCCGTTAATAACGGATATGGAAACACTTATTATACCGTTGGGGCGGACATGGATACAAATTTTGTACCCGTCGAGGGTCACGGGGCGGGTAAGGGTTCAATATACATATCCTAGGGGCCCCGCCCCGCATATAACTATATTTAATATATATATATATTAATAAGTTATTTTAGCGGCTTACCCAACCCATCTCTTACAATCCTAATTTGGGATGTAAATTTGGTATTAAATTTGCTTTTGTTTTGGTTTAGAACTTCTTGTGATTTGGTTGTATTAAATTTTTATTTTTGTTTATTATGTTCTTTGAATTATGTTATGTGCATGTTAGTTTTTTTATTTTTGTTAGAATATATAATTTTATTTATGTTGTGTCATTCCTAGGCTTTGCACATTTAAATAGCAGGAGTTTAAGTTCCAAAAAGTGGGAGAAAAAAATTTGTTAGTGGGGCGGGCACGGGGGCACAGTATTTCCTAACGGGGCGGGGTTGGATATGAAAATTCAACCCGTCGCGGGTCTCGGGGCGGGCATGGACTTGACAAAAATTAAAAGGGGCAGGGCGGGATTTAGGGAAACCCGTTCCAAACCCGCCCCGTTGCCATTCCTAGTCATGTCCTCTATCAAGGGTCGAAATTAAATCTTTAAATGAGACCAATGTATGACGATCCACTCTCATCACCTCTGATGATACAATCTCCACACCCTAGAAATCCCAATCCCAATTCTACCCAACAAACCAGCTAGTTGTAGATACAAGTCTTGTCTTACTCTTCGACACCCACATGTAGAATTGAGATGTGGAGGTAGCAAATGATCTTAAAGTGCGGTAACGGGAACAAAACACCCAAAATCTGATGTGGGCTGACTTGGAGGCCACTCTAATTAAAGGTTTACAATTAATGAAAGAGTCAGATTTGTCCTATTAAAAAGGGTGACACTTTAACCGACTATTGTATTAAACTAGAATATTATTAGTACCATAAGAAACTTCCTCACTCACTTCATCTCTCACTTTCACATGCCTTAAAAACCACAACCAAAACTTTATAAATTCCACCCTACGCATTCATGCAAACATTAAATATGCAGGAGGGAGGGAAACCACACCGACATATACATATACATATATATATATATATAATATATATATATATAGAGAGAGAGAGAGAGAGAGTTTCATCATCATAAACAAGCCACACCTACATATACATTTATATATATATACAACTACTTTACTACTTTAGCAAGCCACACCTACATATACATACATACATACATATATATATATATATATAGAGAGAGAGAGAGAGAGAGAGAGAGAGAGAGAGATTTTCATCACCATAAACAACGCAGTCAACTGTTATAAACAATGTACTAATTTACTAACCCCCTAGTTGGATCACACAGATCTGATTGACTTGGTTCAGCACTAAAAAACTTGTAATAGCTTGATGTAAGATATATGGCTTTTCACTGCATAGAAGGGATAATAAGATTTATAGAGATTTTACACTTAATGAAAAATTGGGCATATCAGATGCTAAAATTTTAAGCCTTTTGCATGTACAATGAAGAAGAAGCTGAGGATGAAGATGATGACAATGGAAAAATAACTTTGCATTCATGGGAGCATGAAACTAGTTATTTCATAAATAAAATTGTTCTTAGGATTAACAGGAGCTAACATCACCGATGTTCTTGACCAATTCATGATCATACAATCTTCAGCAAAGCATATTACACTTTAAACAAGAACCAGAGATTACAGGATTTCAAGAATAACAACAATTCATGTGAAACCTCTCAGAAAAACCTTGCTTATGCTTGCAGACCAGCCGCGGGGCCTAGCATTCGTACCACGACTGAAGCCAAAGCACAATGTTGAAACAGGTGATCCATGTCCATCTGCCTCATTAATCCTCGAATCAAACGATGATCTCGAGCTGGACAATATCAATTGTCCGCGTAAATTTGGAGTAAATGGAGAAAATGGTACTGAATGTGATGATGACCATGGGGAGGATGACGACGAAGATGAGGATGAAGCAGGTGATGGTGGGAAAGGGGATTTCCTCATGGTGAGCTTTGGGAGAAGAGTGTGCAGAAGATTGGGCTTTGAGGGCTTCTTTATGGGCTTGTTAGCAGGACTGAAAAGGAAGGAAGGTGGAGGAGTGAGAGGAGGAAGTTGGGCTTCTCGGAACTTAACTCTAGGCGTCCCTGGTTGAGATTCCCACATGAATGGGACAGCAACAGATGCTCCTCCATAGTAGACTTCTGAAGAGGTGGTGTTGTTTATTGAGATCTCCCTGGACAGACGCCTAGAAGACAACTTGTCATCCTGCTTGATATGGATAGACTTGCCGGGAAGGCCTGAGTTGCTTGAAGGCATTTTCACGTCAAGTGCTTCTTGGGTCTAAGAGGGAGAAGACAACAATGATGGTTGAAGGTTTAGCTAGTAGACTGGAACGCATTTGTAGGGTTCATGGTGTTCTGAAAGATTAGGTCAAGTTTATTGCGCACAATTTCTAACATGGGCATGACAAGTTACTTATATATAATTAGGACCAATAAAATGATTTCTTTTCCTTCTTTACGGACATGGGCATGACAAGTTACTTATATATAATTAGGACCAATAAAAATGATTTCTTTTCCTTCTTTACAGACAAAGGTTAGGTAGAGATAGGTGAAAATATGTTCAAGCCCTTACAAAGAGATCTAAATTCCCTTCTATGGCTCCAAGGAAATGATACCATGTGAGCATCTCCAACAAAATAAAAAAATAAACCAAAAAAAAAAAAAAAAAAAAAGTTGAAACGGACCCACAGTTTGACAAGCTCCATTTGGTTAATGAATATTACCAAAAGTCAAGACTGTTGATAAGTAGAGAAAATAATTGAACACACAAATTTTAGCGAATGAACTGAACTGCTTGACAATGTCCATACACCCACACATGTATGCATCTATAAGAGAGAGGAAGCACATGTGATACCTGCACTCTTGCAGGGATCATTAAATTCTCAAATAGAGGGTGCATGTGGCGTTCTTTTGGATGAGAATATTATAGTTTTGCGCACTCTATGCTTTGACATTAGAATGAGAATTTAAGAGGTTTCTAATCAAATGATAAATGAACACAAGATACCCATAAGCCATGACTCACCAGTTAGTCAGTTGCCATCCACGTACTGTGCCTGCACAACTACCTCTGAAAATGATTGTCACTATGGCAGGTTCCAATATGTAGTTGAGATATCGTGCACCCATTGCTCTTGACATGCCATAATTCCGATATTATCAATGAAATACCATAAGACTGTATGGTCCAACTTGAAAATTTTAGAAGACTGCCAAACAGATAACAAATTAAACATTGAAAAAGAATAAACTCTAAAACTAAAAAATTGTTAACAAAGAGGTTTGAATATGATAGGCGGATAGATGTAATCCAGATTCAACCAATTTAAAAAAAAAAAAAAAAAAAAAAAAATCTCAATCTGAGCCCACTAATATGGACCATGTCAGGGTGCATCACATGTTCAGAATTTGCCTACTCTATTATGAATTAGCATGCGGACTGCCAAGTTCTGGAACAAATTACCGCAAGAATCTGAAAATACAATGAAAAGATATGCTAACATCATTATCAAAATAATAAATTAGTTAAAGTCAAACGGTTTTATTATCATCATTCAAATGACACATCAAATTAAATAAAACAATTCAAAAGCCTATTTAACTATGCATTACAAATACCTAGCGGGAATTTAAGTTTAAAATGAAGCTGTAGCCTGCAGCCTTAAATGATTTTTTTTAGATCAAAGTAAAAGATGGCATCCACATCAAAGGCCAGTCGCATGCATCACCTTTGGGTCACATGTCCTATCTAAAATAGCCCTTTCTTTCCAAAGATTTTGGGAATTTTTAACTACAATCATGCCATCTGTATGTCTGATTTGATTTTCATAGGACAACTTGCTTCAACTCTTTTGCTACGGAATAGCCAAAACACAAGGCCTTGAAAACGTCATGTAGAGCGATACTTATTTTAAATGCACATGTTATTGGTTCATCAATCATCATCATCCTCATCCTCATCACCATTTACTTTGTCAAATATTTACTAATCACATCAACGTAAATCCAATATCATCTAGAAAACCAAGGAACTGTTACAAGGTCCCTGTCATTTTTAGTTTGTCTATCCTATACATAGTTTAAAACCTTGTTAATAGGGAGTTCCTTCAATTTTGTGGACAGAGAAGAATACAATAACTTAACCCAGTAAGACGGAGATTAAAAACTTGTTTACCTTCCGGGAAAGAAAAGTTTAGTGTTAGCCAAGATATGATAGCCTAAAATCATGAGATGTGACTTACCGTATTAGCCCATATATGATAACCTAGAATCATGGAATTCGACTCTATCTACGCGTATGTCTAGGCATAGAATCTGCAGTGATTTTATTTAGATTCCTTTCTTGTAAATACCAGAGCTGTGAATGAGTGAAATAAGAATTCACACCATTTCATACTTCTCTTGTATTCCTTCTATCTTGTATTTTTTCTTTTAGCCACTTGTTTGAGATCAATCAGTAATGATGCTAAGGATGATAAAACCAGTGTCCACAAAGTAGGAGTCTGGAAACTCAGCGTTGGTGCAATTCTTCTTTTCTTTGACAACTCTCTTTGACAATAGCAACCTATATGTGCTGCTGCCCACCTCTAAGGTTAGTAATAAATGACTCTTCCAGCATTTTAAAATCGTCATCTTGAATTATTACTAGTCCAACATCATCATCATCCTTACCTTTATCCCATATGAATGGAGTCGGTCTCATGAGTTCTCTTTTTCTAATCTTTCCCGTTATACACCATGTCTCCTCAAATATTAAAATTTTAAATTACTTGATTCCACGTAACCTTTGGCCGACCTCTTTGTCCCTTTCCTTCTGGGCAAACAACTCTACCTCTTCTAACCGGTGCATCTTTGAATCTACGACATATGACCATACAACCTAAGTGGCTTAAGTCTACTTTCTCTAATTTTATCATTAATAAGCGCTGCTACTAAATTTCCCCGCACTCGTTCATTACTAACCTTCTCTCTCCTACATTTTGTTTCTAGTACATGGTCAACCAAAAATGTGATAAAATTATTCAAAGATTCATATTAGACACACACACACACACACACAACAAAGAGGTGGTTTCTTCAATAATTTATTCCACTTGCCTCATCTCAGCTATTGAAACGGTTTAATATTTTGCATATTAAAAAAACACATGGAAAACTTACAGAAATACAGGGCCATTACTTCAATTTCCTTCAGCAATAATGAGAAAAATCATGTGAACAGAGCCTCAAAGAGCTTGAAAAGTCCCAGCATGTTAAACATTGATATAGAACTTGTTAATTTAGTGACACCTAAAAAAATAAAAGTAAATGCTAGTCCCAAAAAATGAAGCTATAGAAAAGGATACACTATAATTATAAAATATTTGGGTAGCATGTTTTACAAACACATAAACAGCATACTTCAAGCATAAAGCATTTCAATGAATAAAAATGCAGTTGTTTCTCCAATGATATAAAAGAAATTTCTGATAGCATATTGTTAAAAAATTGAGGTTTCTAGTTTGACGTACACATGGCAGTACACTATTGGATAACAAATTACCAGAGACTAATTACAATCAATCTTAGCTGATACCTGTAGCAGTTAAACTCAGGAAATGCAGGAAAGCCTGCTAAAGTGCAGCTTCCATAAAATTCTCCTTTTATCCACACAAACTTAGCAGCCAACTGTGTGTTTGCCCAAACTTTCTCCAAATCAAAGTAGATACAGATTTGTTTTTTTCGGAAGATTAGGCAAGTATTGTATAAATGTATAAACCAAAGGTTGTAGCCTAATGGTACTTCATCACCTTCCAAAGTGAAACGTCAAGAGCAGTGACGGACCGAGAAAATTATGTGAGGGGGGAACACTTATATAGTGAGGGTTTTCTGTAATTTCAGTGAAGGCAATTTCAAAATTTTATGGGTATATAATACACAAATAAAAATTTAGGGATATATAATACAAAAACAAAATATTTCAGTGGGGGCAGATTCCCCCACTGAGCCCTCGATGCGTTTGTGTCTGGTCGAGGGTTCAAGTTCCCATAGGGGCACGTGGGTGGGTGTGTTATTTGTCAGAATTTTATTTTTTTTAAATGAAATATACAATGTACAGTATTGAGCTGGAGTGTAAGAAAATCAGGTCCATAGCTTTACAAAAAATGAATAGGACAGATACAATTCAGACGCCCAAGCCAAATGGCAATGAAATGCCCACAGCCATAAAATTAAAGGCGTTAACCAACTAACTCTGTTTCCAATCCAGTAGCCATAACAGGGATCAAGGCACTGGTTTGTTCCTTAATATTTAGCATACATATCATTTTTTCTGGTAATCTTAATAAAATGAAAGGTGTTTCTACGAATTAAATTTTGTTGAGCTGAATAACTCCATATTTGATGCATTAACTCCCAAGCATTTGCACTTAAACTCATATTAATTCCCAATAGTTTTAGATGAATTAATGTTATGTAAGGAGAGATTCGACGGTGCATGTTGTTTGCTAATGATTTAGAATTTTTATATACTTCTAAGAATATTTAGCAATAAAAATTAAAACCTAGAGAAATGCATCAGAGACAAGGTTCAAAAATTAATAGAACTAAAACAGAATACATAGAATGTAGATTCAATAAAGACAGAGAATGTGAATATAAAAATAAATAAGAACAATGCATTGTTGAAAGGAGAATGTGGAGATGGACAATCAAAAGAAGATATAGTACGCTTAGATGGTGCAGATATTCATGATGTAGGACAGTAGATGCACCAATATAAAAAGGGAGACCAGTTAAATTATAAGAAAAGAGACAAAAAGACAGATCAAAACTAAAATGTAATGAAGTTAACAGAACATATATTGGTTGAGGAAATCAAGAAAAGTCCAGGAACATCGACATCAAATTCAATGTTAAATTGTTCAACTACCAATAGAGGTAAAGAAATACCAGTATATCAGCAAGAAGTTGTCTCTGACTTAGTTTTTGCATTCCATTCAATGGCTCACAGAGAGCAAGACAGTAATGGATTTCTAAGTCCTAAATAAGTGGGTCAATACCATTTCAAATCTGTGAGTCAGTTCGACTGTATGAGAGAATTTGATTCAATTAGAATATATATGGCATGTCTCTCTTTCTTTTTTCAGCAAAAGGCATAAAAGATAAGAACATACATCAATCACTAGTAACCCTTTGGTGAAACTGATTCCGGTCCCTCAGAACACTCTCTCTTGAGTAATTTCAATATACTAGCAGAATGGCAATCAC